TATTTACTCCTTATAATATATAGTAACAGCTGAAAAGTCTCTTTTACGTGAAGGAAGAAGATTTCAACTTTTGTTAGGGATTTTTTTAAACTGATTGGTAACACCCTCACTAAGACAGAGTTATCACTGGATTCATTTGAGTTGCTCAATATAATAACAGAAGGTTTATTTGTGTTTTATGTCCTACATGTGCTACCCTTTACAAATGTGTATATATATTTGTGTCTCCCTTTTAACTTACGAAAGCGTAGTAAAAGCTTTTACCGTATATTTAATTTTCTCCCTAAGATTTAGGATTTTCAGATATCCATGTGAGGATGACAGTATATCAATATATATTGTAATATAAATGCCCATGTTATCTTTAGCGTTTATATAGAGGTCTGTCTTCGCAGTGTTGCAAATCAGTCTACTAGCTCTTCCTTTTAAGTGAGCGTCCCCTAGCCCCTGCAATGAATTTGCTGTTAAAGGTGAAGGGGCAAAAACTGCAAATGAGTCATCCAGTCAGAATCGGTATTTTAAAACGTGGTGCAATTAGTATTGTAGATGTACTACATCTTGTAGCTATTTCAAACCAAAAATCTTTTCTTGCATTCCAGCTGACTAGATGTGTGTAGCAGCACTCGATTTCCATTGATTCTGCACGTGCAGAAGATTTCATAGAAAACTTTTAAGGTTTCTGTTCCGAGCTAATTTGTGCATGAAACCTAGAAAAGTAGGAATTAATCATGAACATGAACAAAAAAGCTCTTTAGTTAGGTAATTAAAGGCTTAGTGTTCCATTGGTGAAAGTATGTTGCTGCCCATGTTTTTTGTCCTTCCTTATACTGCAGTGCAGAGAGATACGATAGGCCCAGTCAGTGCACCTTTCTTTCAAGGGACTAAATATACTCTACAGTGTACACTTGCGTATATGAAATGGCTTCAGAGTACTAGAGTTTTGTTATCTGTCATGAACATACTTAATATTCATTTCATAAATGTGCTGTACCAGGAAAGAGAGTTGCATCTTAATTATCAATTGCTAATTAGAAACTAGTCTGACCAAGTTTCAAAGTTTGAGAGAGTTTGAAATCTGAATTTAACTCTTCAGCTCAATTTCATCACCTTGATCACTCCATCCAAAGCCCAGAATATTAGTACCTCCTTGTTTCTGGCCTAGTCAAAGTTTAGATCGTTACCGTACAGCGTTTCAGAGATTTTCATGCACATAAAAAAATTCCCTGTAGCCAATGGAGTTATTTAATGGAGTTAAAATCAAATGCATGTTTCAGCTTGCTAATCCAAGGATCGTTTGTTGAATTCCTAAAGATAAAAATGTCTTCTCATTTAATGTATATTATTACCTAGACAGCAGAAATAAAAGGAAGCTAGTATCAAGCCTTTTTTTTAATTTTGAAGGTACGATGTATTTTTGCCACCATATGCTATTGCTGTCACTTGTGTGCCTGTCATCACCTCTCAGTTCATTTCTGTCAAGCCAGCTGGTGCGTGAAGTAACCAGTACTGTTTTGTGTGGCTCGTTTTTGATAGAGCAAAATGATTTTTCCGTGACTGAGAAAACCCCTTACGTTTTAACTGGATCAAAGCGGAGGCATATTCTCCATTTCAGTCAGTCGGTCCCAATCTAAGTCATTCTCAATGTCAAATAAGTTTCCGACTGCTCCCGTGTTGCTCTTTGCAGATTTCTGATACGAGACGTGGCTATGTGTGTTTTGAAATCGAGTACAACTCACTTCAGCCGCGATGCTCCCGTGGACTACGACATACTGACTTTGAAAATTTCTTTACGTTGCCTACCCGAGGCTACTGCCGCCCAGTATGTTCTTTCTGAAATGGTTGCGTAGGTAGGTAGAGATCGAGCCGAGCGGCGCAGGTGCGCCGGCAGCGCGTTGCCCACCACGGCAGCGAGGCGATGGCGGTGCAGATGCGCCGCCGGGGTGCGAGCCACGGCCGGGCAGGCACGGCGCTCGCTCTCGGACGCGGTGCCCGGGTCACTGCGGTTACGCCTTCGGTGTAGGTGTGCCCTGCTAAATGCCTGCGTTTATAGCAAACGCGGGAGCCTGCAGACCAGCTCTAATTGTTTTTTATAAACTGCTAAAGGAAATAAGCAGTAGCGTTCGGCACTGTATATCTTGATGGCGAGCACGTTATACTTTTAAAATTACTTTTAACTACTGGTTAAACATCTAGCTTTTAACTTGTTAAAAGTACCATATGGAGCACTATGGGAGCTGGCTAAATTATAAGAGATAGAGTTAAGAAACTGTTGTAATAAATCTCTCTTCTGCCAATGCTGTATTTCACTGGGAACAGTCCTGGACTTGCTGGGAGATGAACTGGATTGTCTAATAGGTTTCTCATTCCTTGTGAATTTCATAAATCATTTGACACGTTATATTAGGTAACAAATAAACTATAGCTGAAAGCCTGAAAGGATGCTTGCATGACTTGCAAGTAAAACTGAAATTTGAAATCTATTGTTACATAAGACTCTTTGAAGGCAGTCGTGGTATATTTGGCAGTATCTATGTGCCACCTAAGTAACAGAAGAAACTTGTTTTTTCCTGTTTAGTTGCTATGGCACGGACCAGTTAGCTTACACGGTTCAGTCAGTAAAAGGCAACTGTGATGGCAGTAAAAGAGCAGTGACTGGCATGTGTTGAGGATAGAAGAGGAAGAGGAAGGTCTTAGGGGTATGGGCTTTAGTCCCCCATGTCCTTTGGTGCGTTACAGCTGTAACGTATGTGTTATGTGGAGGGAAGACTGCGCAAAGGCAAATCAGGTTCAACGCTTGGGCTGCTCTTCCACATTGAGGCGGTTTTCAAGAGACTGCACGCTGGTTTTCACTCGAGTGAAGCCGCAGTCAAGGACAGCAACGACAAAGCTGATGAGGCAGTCCCGCTTATATACGCGGGGTATTTTAGTTCACAGTCATGGGTTTGAGCCCTCCACGTCATGAGGTACCATCAATTGTAAGAATTTAAGATATGTTGTAGTCCAGTTGTCTTACTTATTACCATATACAAGTATGATTGTTTTTGCAATGTGCAGGTTCAGAACTAGGGCTGATATTTGAAATACCTACAGAACGTTATTGTAAATTGTGTCTTTCACAGGACGCACATTTATTTGAGTACCTGGCTCTGATGGGATCGAGCCAAGATGAAATGGTTGGTACTAGTTTTACTGTCATTCTGACACCATATCACTGAAAGAGAGAGTCAGAAAAACAAAGCAAGTAAAGCTTAGAAAGTTGCTAAATTAAAAAAAAAAAAAGGCAGGGAGGAGGGAATAACATGCTCTAAACAGGGAGCCTATTTAAACAAAACAGCTGGGTACTGAAGAAATTTATATTCATAAAAGCAAAAAAAAAAAAAAAAAAAAGGAAGCAGGAAATAAAAAAGTAATATGGTTAATGGGAAAAGTCAAGGGATTATTAAAACCAAACATGTATCTTCTAGGAAATTGTAATCAGTATAAAGAAACAATTGTGGCAAGTAAAAACGTCAGCTGGAGATTCGGAGAGACCGTGATTAAATGCATTAATAAAAGAAAAAATAGAGGAGTGCAGCAGAGGTAGTTCAGCCTATAAAAAAAAAAAAAGTGCTTAAAACTGCTGGCTTTACAAGAGTAATTAAAGAGGGTAAGTTAGTGTAGGTGGTGGGAGCCATGGCCAGGGCCAGCGTGCTGGACCACAGGAGCTGCTCCACTAATCCCGCAGTCCCGGGGCTCCTAAGGCTTTTCCTGAAAAGCCAGCGCAGAGACCCTGGCAGTCTCCTCCCGGGATCGTTGTTCCTGCTGCGGTTTCTCAAGGTGAACAAAACAACGTTACTGGTGTTAAAATGATAAACCCGGTCCTTGCTAGCCCAGTCAGAACCCGTACAGAACAGGTTGTTCCTTACGCCTCAGCACAACACTGATAACATTTGGCAGGAATAGCAAATGCGCATTAATATTTGCATTATGATAACGGAGAGATTCTATTTTGAGGCTTGCATTTGATAGTAATAATTCATCCTTGTTTTTGAGGTGATTCCTGAAAGAGAGTATCTCTCCCCTACGGTACATGTTCTGTCAAGAAAGACTCTCATTTTTAAAACACAGAGCTTTTAGTCACTTAATTTATACCATTTAAAATCCAGCAGTTTTATTGTACTAATGTTGAGCCTGCCAGTACTTTTTAGCACCAGATTTTTTTCATTTAAAAATAGTGAGGGTTTTTTGTTGTTTGTTTCTTTTTAATTCATATGCTGCATGTAAGGAAAGTTTAATTAAGCCCAGCATGCAGGGAGAGGGAGAGGAAACAGTGTTCAGCAATTGAGAATACAATTAGCTACATATATACAGAAGTGATTGTATTACCTAAATCTTTTTTTTTTTCTTATTTTTTATTTTTTGGTAAGTAGGGGGATTAGGGAGGGCAGGCAGGCAGGCGTGGGCTCTGAAAAAAAGTGGAGGGAGTAACAATACTTCTGTGGAGCTAGAAAACAGAAATATAATGAGCTATCTCTCTAATAATTTGTAGAGCTGAAACACCATTTTTACTCTTATAACTCTTTGATAGAGTTTAAATTTAGGCTTGGGAAGTTTGCAAAGCTTTGAAAAGCCATGCAAGTTGAAGCCTATTCTCAAGGTGTAGACATAAGAGAGGACTGATCTTGGATAACAAGACTGGTCTTTTTCGCTGTTTTTTATTAAAACATTTTGTTACTTCTGCTGCAAATTAACATTGGTTTGAACGTTTTCACTCGTAAATATTGTTCAGTCTTCCTCATTAAAAAAACATTTCCTCGATAAAAATAGATTCCATATGCAGATGTACTATGTTTATATATAAAATGAGGCACATTAATGTTAGTAATCATACATGAAAATGTGGGCTTTTTTGCTTTTGACCGTGTAATGGCTCTTCTCACTTCAGCCTTCTGCCCCCAAAACAAGTAGAACAACAAGAAAACCTGCCGAAAGGTAATTTGTCGTTTTAACTAATTTTCCAGATACCCCATTGCCTAAGTTCAGCGAGACCTGGCAAACGAGCAGGCCAGCGGGCAGAGAGTGATCGCTCACGAGTCCAAGAACAACTTGACTTTTCATGCAGTGTGGTCAGCCTCATGCGTTTGCGCCTGCCTGACAACTGCGGTGCTCAAAGGCCTCAGGTCAGCAAAGCTGTTAAGCATGTGCTTAGCTTACCCAGGGAGGCCAAGTCCCTCCTTGTTCAGAAGCCTGTATGCTGAATAGGAGTAAATTTACTCATACGCTTACAGCTGAGCATTTGCCTAAGTGTTTTGCTGAGCTGCAAAGTTGTGGTGAGAAAGAAAGACTTTATAGTATATCATGAAACCCTTGCACACCATCTCAAACATATGGGGAAATCATTTCTTAAAAGAAGACAAACAAAACCTCTTCCCTTTTCAGAGGTTTACAACAGTAGGTCAACATTTGCCTGAAGAAATAATACCCAACCTCCACTTCATAAAAAATGAGCTATGACGAGCCAAGTTAACTTATGAAATTGCTGTATTCTTTCATCTTTGGTGTATGACTGTAACAGAATGAAGATTTCCATGCATTTGGGTTAAGTCTCATAATATTATGCAATCGGTCAGCTTGGCCGATGAGGCGTTCTGCAAGACTCGGTGGCAGCGCAGACAGGATGGCCTGCTCTTCCTGCCTGCTGGGCAGCTGGTGGACGGGCAGCGAGAGCTAAAATGGCAATCGCATGCAAATGTGCAACAACACTTAAAAGATTATCGGGAAGATTTCCCAAAACCAAAGGGATACATCAGATTTTTCTTTAACCCAAAAGATTCTTAAATGACAAAAAAAAAAAAAACCTCAGTAAACTGAGGTATTGCAAAACGTAGCTGTCTGAGTACTTAGAGAGAAAAAAATGCAATTACGAATTTTGCTTGGGTGAATTTTTCTTCTGGTGAAAAATGAAGATTTACAAACACTGACCTGATAAAATTCAGGTTTGTGTCATCCAATTTATTTTGTATTAGAAAAAGAATTGAGAATGCTTCAGCTTGAAAAGTCAATTCAAAATGACTTTGTTTCAAGATTTCCTTTCAATTTTGCTGCTAAGTATAATGGGCGAGGTTGAATTTATACCATTGTTTATTTGTTTTTTGTTTAAATGAGATACTATGTTTGGGCAATATTCTGTTTTCTATTCAAAAGGAAATGTTTAAAATTATGCTTTTGGAAAATTAGAGGGAATTGGGTTTTTTGGTTTTCTGGAATGAGCAGAGAACAAAAGAAAATTGTTTTTTCACACGTGTTGATAAATGGCACGCTTCCTCATCAACAGTGATTTTTCCGTTCTTTTCCTACCTAGCTGACCAGGTAGCATTAATAGTCTCTAGGCTGCACTTTCACGTGGAACCATATATTTGTATTTTTCCACGGTAGTTTTGAGGGAGGACTCTGCACCTGAAAGATGGCACCTTCTTTGTCAGGTGGAAATGGTAGAGTTGTAGGAAATAGGTGTTAGGCAGTCTGTAGAGGAATATTTAGTTGATCTGTATCTTAAAAAGTATTCTGTTTTGAAAATTTATTTAAATGATTGTATGATTATACATAGTTGTGGGTGACTAATCTAGTCTATTGCTGCAGGTCATGGGAATAGTCATAAAAACTATTTATTCTGAACAGGAACCCGGATGCATTCTTTCCCTCCATGTTTCCCATATGTTCTGCGAGTAAACAGTAAATGGGACAGAGAAGCACTGAGGAAAGAAAAGAAGCGGGTAAATGGGGATTCTGCAGCACTAAAACTGCAGAACTGCAGCCCTGCATGGTTTAAAGTTGTGATGATTTTCTGAAGAAAGAATGAATCTAAGTGGAACAGACGTGCTCCATAGAGCTAAGAACCCCCTAAGGTACAGGCACCAACAAAAGAAAATAAATTAAATCTCTATCAGAAAAACGTTCATGGGAAAGCACAGGGAAAACTGGTAATCTCCAGAAATGACGCACCTTTTGCTAGTTTACGTTTAGCGCTGCAGCAGAAGCTGACTCTACTCTTTGCAGACTTCAGCCTGCACAGTCTTTTCCTACAGCTAAAGGTTTTCAGGAATTACTGGTTCCAGTTTGCCAAGTCACTCTTTTCTGCCATTACCCACCTGCTTTACCCGTTTGTACCTCACGGGTGTATGTGCAGAATATGCCCCTCTGACAGGTCGTTCTCTGCTTGGTCCTCGTTACCTGTGTCAGGAAATCTACTTAACCTCTTTGCTGGATTATTCTGGTGAGATAGGAGTGTTGCAGATAAACTCTGTGGGATATAGTTAGAGATCTGATCGGTGAGGACGGCAAAAATGCATTTTCCAATACAGTTAAAGAACCCACAAGAACTCCTGAGGTTTGAACTTGGTGCGCTGAGAGTATGAGTGGGAGGGTAGGAGTTGTGTTTGGCAGAAGAAACCTTGCTTTGATGTTGTCAGTTCAATATGCCTGAAAAGCTTCAATCTCTAGTCATTTCTTGCCCCGTGTTTATCCGCTTTACCTGGCTCACTTTTAGTTCCAGCTGGGGAGTCAGTCCCAAGGCTCTGCTATATAGTTTCTCAGTACTTGCAGCCTAAATATTTTTTCTCTTCACCATCATGGTAGTTTCTCAGCCACTGAAAGAAGCCATTTCGTAGCTCCAGTACCTTAGGCTGGGAAATTTGCCCATGGATGCAGCTCACACAGGCTCTCCGTGCCCTGTCATCTCTCTGATTTTCCTAACATCCTTGCCTTCTTTCATGGGCTAGAGAAAGTACGCACTTTCTGTGGGAAATGATTGGGAGATTAGAGAGAAAAAGTTGGTTTCATTCCAAAGGGTGGTGATCTATATTAGCACCGTTTATAAGATGAAGCCAAATCCCTATTCTCTGTTACCTCGTGAGACTTCAGCCTGGGGCTATATGCAGCCACAGACGAATGCGCTTTCTTGTTCTTCTAAGGGCATGTCAATGTAAGGAAGTTATCCTGGAATGAGATAGGGTGTGAATTTAAATGCAGTAGCTGTTCCAGAATAACATCCTGTGTAGACAAGGTCTTGGTGAAATGACTAAAAGCAAAGGAATGACTTCAGTGGAAGCTGAGGACACCAAACCCCCCAACTCCTGGCACTAGCAGCCAGCCAAACTCCTCAAAGGTAGAGGATTATTTGAACACCAGATCTTCACTGATTTTTAATGGGGATTTGATGTCTTAACATCTTCACGCTGACTGCCTCTTCCCTCAGTGTTACTTTTTGGAAAATGTGATTTACTGCTTATTTTATTAGTTGGCAGTAGGAGTTGGAGGGTGGTAACCAACAGTGTTACTTTAGGTAACTTGTAAATGCAAATCATAGTTTAATGTCCAGTGTGTGAATGAGGGGGGATATTTTGGCTCCACCATTACTTGCTATATTTTGTGATTCCTACAGATTGTAGTGTAGGCATTGACTGTCTCTGCGGTGTCTAAGGTCTGTAGCTCTTGAAGTGGTACGAAAAGAAAACTCCGCTGCGAGGAGAAAATGTGTACTTAACGCTTCTCTTTTAGAAAAAATGAAAGCATCAAGGTACTGTTTCTGTTGGCGTTGCATTAGATGTAAGTGTGCATGCACTCTTGCAGTGTTGTTGTGGGAGTTACCAAATCACCTCTCTGTGCTTGTGAGGTTGCCGGAACAGTTTTTAGGCCGACGCTATGTGATTTAGTTGTTACCTGTTCCTTATGGTCTGCTGACAATTAGTGTTTATTTTTCAAGTGCCTTTTTTCCAGATTAAGTAGAGCGTTAATTAGTCAGTGCGAGGAACAGAGTGCATTTTTCTATCGCAGCTTTCCATCATGTCAGAAACTCATTACCAGATGTAGAGATCATAAACAAACACACATGGCTGCTGCATGTAAATCATCTGCGGGAGAAATTACTGCTGATCTCTTCTGATTAGATCACTTTATCTTTCAGCTTATTAATATACTTTTAACCATGGAGAATATTTAGATACTAATAACACAAAAAGCAATGTACAGGGCAGCATTAGCTTTCCACATTTGTTAAACATATTTCGATATTCTAGGCTACCCTTTTTTATCTTGAAAGAGCAGCTGGGTAGTCAGAACCGTGCTTCAGAACTGATATTTGCTCCTGCAAGATCTATAGCAGGATATACAAATAGTCTTCCCAAAGCCATACAAAGATTTACTACAGAAATGAATTTGAAAATATTAGGCCAAATTTTTTGCTGGCACAATCCCCAGTGGAGTTACGCTGGAAAATAAATTGGCCTGAGGATGAGTAAGCCTAATGAAAGCCATGAATTGCTAATTTAGGATCCAATCTTCTCTGTTACCAAGGAAGGAGGCTCGGACGAGCCGGGTTGCGCGCGCTGGTTCAGCATCCCTGCCACGCCACGCGTGATCACGCTGCCCTGGCAGAAGTGTGTTAATCCTGGAGTAAAGCAAATTCGCCATTGCTGGGAGATCTCTGCAGCAGCGAGTCACACAGAGGATCATTTTCAAATAAACACACATGCAACAAAACACATTGTAGGCTGGATATAGGCACACTCGCACCAAATTGCCTTCCTAATGAGAACTACCGTCCTTTGTGCCTGTTTCAAAAATGCAGTAACACTTGTTCAGGGTTTTTTTGGAGCTCTTTTGCTCATCAGCACGCACCTCGTTATGAGGCGAAAGGACATTAGACACCGTATCCTGCGCGTAAATAATAAACCGTTATGGCAGATGGTAACAACCTCAAAGTCTCTGCAGATTATTGTGTCTTGTTATTTCCAGTAGGCAGATGATATCTTTTAAATAAGAATCAGTACGTGTATAAGGACTACACGCGCGCCCTCACATTGCCATACAGGATCAAAGGAAGTGGAGTCTGACCCGGGGAGCTAATGAGGTTCAGGACCTAACGGAGCAGTACTGAGCCCAAGAAGGCGAGCGGTTCCAGGTGTCAGGGGAGCTTGCTAGATAGTGAAAAATGACCTCCACGATAGAGCCAAGACTCGTAACCCTATGCTCGCTCCGCTAGCAAAGGGATAGTCAGATGGCTGACTGCTGTTCGGGCCTGGAAGAGAAGGAACTTTTGCCTAATCTCGCCACGGTCCCAGATGGGAAACGTCTCCCGCAGTCCAGCAGAAGATCCCATATTTCTTGCCATTTTCCCAACCGC